GCCAGCAGCCACTAGGGACCCTACCAGTGCAAAAATTTCATACACTGGGCCTCTAGCATATAACATATTCTACAAACATAATGGAGTGAAATTAGAAATATCAGAAGAAAATTCATGAAATTCACAAATATATGAATATTAAAAAGCACACTCCTAAGTAATGAATGGGTAAAGAAGAAATCAGGAAAATTAGGAAATACTCAGATATGAGTGGAAACAGAAATACACATATCAAAACTTATGGAATTAGGTTAACTCAATGCTTAGAAAAAAATTTATAGCTGAAAAAGCCTATATTTCAAAAATAAAATATCTTAAATCAATAATCCTTTTTTAAACATAAAAGAAGCTGGCATAGTTATATTAATACCTGTCAAATTAAACCTTAAGACAAGACACTATTTTGGAAGTAAAAGTATATTAGACAAGGACAACAATTAACCTGAAAGTTACAATAATCCTGAATCTGTATACATTCAACAGCATATTCCAAAACATATAAAGTAAAAATAACAAATTTATTGGGAGAACAACAAATACATAATAAAATATTTTAATCTAACACTCAATAATTGATAGAGCAAATGGATAAAAATTAAATATGGATAGAATAGATTTTAACTACACAGTTAATAAGCTTGATCTAAAGAAGTATGCAAGAGAAGCGAAGATGGTGACACAGGTAAACACCTGAACTGCTCACACAACAACTTCAAAACTACAACTAAAAGACAAAACAGGCATCATCCAGAACCACAGGAAGGTTGGCTGAGTGGAAATTCTACAGCTAGAATGAAAGAGAAAAGCACACTGAGACTCTGAGGAGGTGTGGAAGTAAAGGCAGAGGTATGGAGGCACACACTTGGAGAGGGCTGGCAACTGAGTATGTGGCTGTCTTTTTCAAGCGGGAGGGAGATAAAAGCTCCCAACTGCTCTGAACTCCAGTTCTGGGTGAGACTTTGGGGACCCAGACTCATACGGGGAGAAATTGGACTGTCTGGCTTTGGGTGGAACTTGAGGGTGGTTTTCCTTAAGAGGTCCTTAGAGTGACTACCATGGGACACTGAGAACCAGGGGAGCTTCTTAGGGCAGGGCTGATGGAAAGCCATTGCTGTTTGCTCTGCTCTGAGACTCCACCCCACTCCAGCTGTATGCAGAGACTATTGCATATGAATGGCCTGGTCCTTTGAAATCTAAACTTACTTAACAAACTGCAGCTAAGTCAGTGATACCCAGAAAAAAAACAAAAGAAGGCCCAAGGCTTCACAGTAGCTTGCATTGCTTCACAGCTGGGCCTCATCTGGGCACCTCCAAAACCCAAACAAAGAAGAAGAATCTGCAGATCTCTCTCTAGCTCCTGTTGGGTGGCCTCAGGCAGAGGCTAAATTAGCACCTCCTTGGAGATCCAAGAGCCAGGGTACCCAGAGGTCAGAGTAGGACTCCTCAGATCCATAAGGGACACACTCAGGGGCAGACTCAGGGAGCACCAAAGCCCCACTGAAGCAAGTCTTGCCTCATAAGGGTGTCTCCAGCACAGAAGTTCTCACATCATAGACACAGATGATCCTCATAGCCAACTGGCCTGGAGTTCAATTCTTCCCACTGATACCAACAACAATCAAAGCTTAACTACAACAAGACTGTGCACACAGCCCACAATGGGGTACACCAAGAGTGTCCACCTAAGGTAACTGGGGAGGCTGAGCTACTGGGCCCTATAGGACACCTAGCACACAAAGCCACTCTATCAACTCAGGGAAGCAGCCAAAATGCAGAGACAGAAAAACAGGTCACAAATGAAAGAAATGGAGAAAAAGCAAACAACTGGATATAGAGTTCAAAACCATGGTTATAAGGTTTTTCAAGAATTTCCTAGAAAAGGCTGATAAATTTAGTGAGACCCTCGAGAATATGAAAAAGGACCAACTAGAACTTAAACATACATGGACTAAAATAAAAAAATAATATACAGAGATCCAACAGCAGACAAAATAATTGCAAGAATCAAGATAAACTTTTGAAATACAAAGAAGCAAAAAACACCCAACTGGAAAAGAAAAAAGAAAACAGAATCCAAAAATATGAAGATAGTGTAAGGAACCTCTGGAACAACTATAAGCGTACCAACATCTGAATTATTGGGGTGCCAGAGAAGAGAGAGCAAGATACTGAAAACCTATTTGAAGAAATAATGACTGAAAACTTTCCCCACCTGGTAAAAGAAATAGACTTACAAGTCCAGGAAGCACACAGAACCCCAAACAAAAGGAATCCAAAGAGAACCACACCAAGGCACATCATAATTAAAATGCCAAGAGCAAAAGACAAAGAGAGAATATTAAAATTAGCAAGAGAAAAACAGTTACCTACAAGGGAGCACCCATATGATTGTCAGCTGATTTCTCAACAGAAACTATGCAGGCCAAACAGGAATGGCAAGAAATATTCAAAGTGATGAATAGCAAGAACCTACAACCGAGAATACTCTACCCAGCAAAGCTATTATTCAGAATTGAAGGTCAGATAAAAAGCCTCACAAATAAGAAAAAGCTAAAGGAGTTCATCACACCAAACCAGTATTATATGAAATGCTGAAAGGTATTCTTTAAGAAGAGAAGGAAGAAGAAAAAGATAAAGATTAAAATTATGAACAACAAATACATATCTATCAACAAGTGAATTTAAAAATCAAGCAAATAAAAAAATCTGATGAACAGAATAAACTGGTGAATATAATAGAATCAGGGGCATAGAAAGGAGTGGAATGACAATTCTTGGGGTGAAAAGGGTGTGGGAGTGCAGGAAAGACTGGACAAAAATTGTGGATCTATGGATGAGGAGAGTGGGGTGGGTAAGGGCAGAGGGTGGGGTGAGAACTGGCTGGAGGGGAGCTACGGAGGGAAAAGGAGGAACAATTGTAATAATCTGAACAATAAAGATTAAATTTTTTAAAAGTCCACATCCTTTCATAATAAAGGCAACTCAACAAGTTCGAATAAACTATCAAACTCCTTCAACTTGATAAAAGCCATCTACAAAATATCAAGTAATATCATACTTAATTCAAAAGATTGAATGCTTTTTTCCTTTAGATTGGGAATACAAATTAGGGATGGCCACTCTCACCACTCTTGTTCAACACAGCGCTGGAAGTTCTAGGCAGAAAAGAAAATAAGGCCCAAGAAAGGTAATAAATGACATGACATCCAAAAAAAAAAAAAAATATATCTCTATTCACAGATGGCATGATTTTATATAAAGAAAATCATAAGGAATCTATCAGAAAACTATTAGAACTAATAAACAAGTTCAGCAAAGTTATGAATACAAGATCCATACACAAAACTTTTATAGTTTCCAACTGTTAGCTGCTCACCCCCAAAAGTATCCACATGGACGTACAGGAGTAGCAAAAGTAGGTTTACAGTTGTGCATATGCTAAACAGTTTATTCTTGTATTATTATTTTTTTAATAATTGTATTACAACTACAAATTTATTTCTGCCCACCTCTGTATATGCAGGGAAGAATCCAGGAAGGGAAATCAATTTTTGTTAATTACAGCAGAAATTAGCACATTTTTTTTTAACATCTATTTTTAACCCACACATTCAAATAACAGCATTGTTGTGCACTTGGTATGTGCTAGACATCATTTATGTGCTTTACATGTATAAATATATTAATGCTGTAGTTTATCAACACATAGTCACACTAAATATTATCAGCCCCATTTCACAATTGGGAACACTGAGGTAGAGAATGATTAAGTAACTTGGTCAAAATCACATACAGTAATCCTCCCTTATCCTCAGGAAATAAGTCCTAAGACACCCCACATCCCCAGTGGATGTCTGAAGCAGAGAATAGTACCAATATATACTATATACTATGTGTATTATACATACTTATGATAAAATTTTATTTATAAATTAGACACAATAAGAGATTAACAATAATCGCTACTGATAAAATAGAACAATTATAATGATCCTATATAATAAAAAGTTAATGTCCTAATTAGACCAGAATGATCTTCTGGAATGACCAGTGGGCAGTGGGTGGGGCCGTGGGACCGTGAGGCAGCCAGGGCTGTGAGGGCCTAGTCTTACATGGATTTTGTGCATTGGAACTCTATTATAACTATAATAAAAATATGTGATATATACTCACCTTTTCACTTAAAGGAAGCACTTTTTGGCTTCTTTTTGGCATATTCTAATTGCCAGCATCACTGCTCTTGCACTTTGGGGCCATTACTAAGTCATGAACGTAAACACTGTGATACTGCGACAGTCAAACTGATAATAAAGATAGCTACTAAGTGATTAATGGGCAGTAGTGTATGCAATGTCCATGCACTGGACAAAGGGATTATTCACATCCCAGATTGGATGGAGCTGGACAGCACAAGATTTCAACATGCTACTCAGAACCATGGCAATTTACAACTTATAAGTTATTTATTTATGTAATTTTCCATTTAATATTTCAGACCACATCAGACTGAAGGTAATGGAAACCACAGAAAGAGAAATCACAGATGAGAACTTTGTACCTAGAAATTTGTAAAGCCAGGTTCATGTATTTTCTTTCCTCAGAAGACAGCTGAGTTCTTTTGAGGAGAATGAGATAAAGAAGAGCACCAGCCCTAGCTGGTTTGGCTCAATGGATAGCATTGGCCTATGGACTGAAGGGCCCCTGTGTTCTATTCGAGTCAAAGGTACATACCTGGATTGCAGGTCTCATCTCCAGTAGGGGGCATGCAGGAGGCAGCCCATCAGTGATTCTCTCATCATTGAGGTTTGTATCTCTCTCTCTGTCTCTCCCTCTCCCTTTCTCTCTGAAGTGAATAAAAATATATTGAAGAAGAAGAAGAAGAAGAAGAAGAAGAAGAAGAAGAAGAAGAAGAAGAAGAAGGGCACCAGACTAGGAGTAAGAATGACTGATTCTTCTTACACTAAAGCAAGTTGTCTGACCTTGAACAATTTTACCCTCTCTAACTCTCAATCTTCTCATCTGTAAAAAGAGGGAGTTGGATTAAGCCAAAGCTAAGCCTCCTACCACTTCTAATTCCCTCACACTGGTCTCACTCATGCCTGATTTATGAGTTACAAACTCTCCCTTTTCCAACCACCCAGGAAAGAAGAGGGCCAGAAGAGGACAGCCACCTACTTGTCATGACAAGAAATAGGAGAAACCAAAACAAGACCGCATGTTACTTGCACAAGTTGCTGTGTCAGCGAGTTGTGGATATAGGTGAAAAGCATGGTTATAATTAGAGCAGCAGCCTGAGGGCTCCACCAGCCGCCTGGAGCACCGCTGGATCTGCCGACTGCACGCACAGGACTCCGGGCAGCTTGCTCTGGCCTTGAAAATGATCCTTAAAAGGATTTTCTTCCTTCCTCGAGGGAAAGAAAACCCATTGACATAAAACCTCACTTCCCTTCCGGCTTCCCCTGTGCAATACCACTCCAGTAGAGATCGAGTGTTGATAAATGCAGGGGAAAGAAAAAAAAAAAAAATCAGTAAGCTGAGCCTGGTCACATTGCTCCTTGTGATATAGTTTTATTTTTAACCTCGAAATACTTGGACTATTTCTGTCGGACTTTTCTCTCCTTTCCCAGCCTCCTGGACAGAACTCTGCTCTGTGCGGCTGATGCAGCTTCCTCTGCCTCCCAGGACCTGCCTGCGCGCAACCAGGGGACACAGGCGCAGCAGATGCTGACGCAGCCCACGCGGTGCAGGTAAGCTCTTCAGGCGTGAGCTGGAGCACCCAGGAGACATTTGAAATGGCGAGCACGGAGACTGAGGCTGAGGTGCACATCACCTTTTCGCTCTGAGCAAGAGGATTGTCCAGCCAGTTACTGACGTAGGGGCCTTTGGGAATGGGAGGTGGGGGTTTTGGTGCTGAGAATGAGACCCAGCCATGTGCAAACTCCTGCTTTGAATTCTAAAATCTTAGAGCAAGAAGAGATTATCTGCTTTCTGACGGCTTAGGTCCTTCCTTCTGCAATCAGCCAGGGTGGTTATGCAGTATCTCTGAAGTTACACAGTGCCCATGAGGGGTCCCAGGGTTGAGGGCAGGAAGTGGTGAGGAAATAGATGGCAGGCCTACCCTAGGATTTTCTGAAGTCTAAATGCTGTGATCTTTTCACCAATCAGCATTTGCTATGTTCAGTGAAAGTAATCCTCCTGTGGTTTAAATTCTATCCTCTGTGTCTTCCTACCAGTTAATGTAGCACAATTGTATTTACTGCATGTATTATTTAAACTCAGAGTTTAAAACCTATTTTTTCCCCCTAACAATACTCCCTAGATATGGCTCTCTCCAGCCCCCAGCTCTTGAATCCAAAATGCATTCCCAGAATAGAAGTGAAAGTATTTTACCAGTTGAAATATTTATACAGACTTTTGCACACAAACTATAAATTATTACAGACTTGTGACTTGCACATACAGAGGGGCCAGTGTAAAATAATTAATGATAATTGAGGTATTGCAAGATTTAAAATGGAGCTAGATCATTTCTACCTTTTGGAATAACTGCACAGAACTGGCAGGGAGAAGGGAGCAGTGCTTATTTTCATGTTTTTTTTCTCTGAGCCTTGCTTTGGTGTTATATAGTTTAGAGTTCAGCTAAGGACACTGGGAAGTGGCCTATGCAGCAAAAGTGATTCTGTACACGCTGAAGAACACAAGCTGAAGCCACCAATGTCAAGTAAAGGGAGATCTACCCAGACAGTCTAGCTCCTGCTTGCCTGCCTCTGTGCAGCTCAGAATTCTGCTCTCAGGGTCTCGGTTATAATTATGCCTGTTTGCTGTGCACAGTTAAATGCACTATGTATAACTGCATTTAATCTTGTCAGGTTTCCCACGACACCAAGGTCTTCAAGGTATATGCTGGGGTCTCTCCTAGGAAGACTGGAGAGTATTGGCTTAGGAGTAACCAAGAAGGCAGGATGACTTATAGCTACCCGTAGGTAATCCATCCTTAGCCAACACAAAAGAAAAAGAAAGGCCATTTAAAACACTGATACTAATAATACAAGTGCCAGATATGAGAATTAGTTAGCTATTTAAATAACTAGAAAGTTTACAGGTAGAGAGATTCGTAGCACAGGTGAACTGCCGATGGGGGCGGGGGGGTGAATAGATTTGGAAGAGAATGGTCATGTTTTTGGGGTACAGTGAAACTGTTGGAATCATAGCCCAAAGGCCTGGAATATGGAGCCAGATATGGAAATTATCTTCAGGGAACTGGTTAGATGTTAAAATCTCAAGAGGAAAGGGATTACTTTCATTTAACTTTATACATTTTCTTTCCCTAGAAATAAGTATCTCCATAGTGGAGAAACAGGTTCACAATGTATAATTAAAGTAATTAATGAATTGACTGGTTAATTGGTTAAGAATTAAAGAATATCTCTGACCTTTAACTTTCAGCCTTGCCACTTCCACCAGAATTAAAGCTCAGGAATAAATAAGTATTACCATATGTGGAGGCAAAATAGTTCATCACTGACATGTGAGGGGTGCAGAGCCCCTTGCCTAAAAATAACTCCCTGACATCAAACCTGTATACCTACTACCTTTAAAATCATAGCAAAGAATGTTAACACTATTATCTGTTAATCCCATTCTCTTTTTACTTGAGTCAGTGATTTAAATATACCTGCCAAATGCCTTCTCATGACTTTCTTGGCCAACATCACTCAGACGCCACCTCTTCCTCATTCTTCCATGCTCTGCCCTATTTTGTCCTTGGTACAATCTAAGTTGCTCACATGCCCTTGGCCACCACCACACGAGAAGCTCGGTGTGGCACTGTGGTTTCTACAGAATCTCTCAATAAAATTCAATGGGAGGAGGGTGGGCAAGACATTTGACTTTCCTGGGCCTCAGTTGCTTTTATAGGAAGTAAAGAGGTTAATTGAGGTATTGCAAAGTGGTTTTGGGGCCATCAGCATTGTCTAGAACTTATTATTATTATTTTTATATTTTTTATTTATTTTTTTACACAGAGCTAGAAACATCCATGAGAGAGAAACATGGACCAGCTGCCTCCGGCACACCCCTTACTGGGGATGTGGCCACAACCAAGGTACATGCCCTTGACTGGAATTGAACCTGGGATCCTTAAGTCCGCAGGCCAACGCACTATCCACTGAGCCAAACCAGTTTCAGCTGTCTGGAACTTATTATATGAGAAGACTCTCAGGCCCCACCCCAGTCCTACCAGATCATAATCTGATTTTTAAAAGATTGCTCAGTGGTGCCAATGCACATAGAGGCTTTCTGCTTACCTGTGCACGGAAGGGTTGTGGGTTCAATTCCTGGTCAGGGCCTGGGAGGCAGCCAATCAATTACATTGATATTTCTCTCTCTCTCTCCGTTCCTCTCTAAAATCAGTAGAAGCATATCCTCAGATGAGAATTAAAAAAAAACAAAACAAAAAAAAACCCCTGCTATCTTTGAAAGAAGTAGCTCTTTCAAAGTGCTGCTGTCTTTGGCGTTCTATTCAATCCTGCTCAATAAATGTTAACTGAGTGTTAGGAGCAGTGTTAGCTATGTTCTCTCTGTCCCTCAGAAACCAGTTTACACATTCTTTGAGGTCATTCCATTTGTTCTCCATGTTCTGTTAATATCCCAATCAGAGCTTCTTTTGCTGCAGGGAAATGTTCTGCTCAGAGCACTTCTGCCTCATCTCTGGCCTTCGTCAGGCTGTCTCCCCACTCACACTGTCACAACAGCACTGCTCTCGGGTTGTACTGACTCCCACAACCAATCATGAGAAAGAAATGAAGTCTCAGTTGACACCTTCTTCTTCTTCTTCTTCTTCTTCTTCTTCTTCTTCTTCTTCTTCTTCTTCTTCTTCTTCTCCTCCTCCTCCTCCTCCTCCTCCTCCTCCTCCTCCTTCTTCTTCTTCTTCTTCTTCTTCTTCTTCTTCTTCTTCTTCTTCTTTTTCTCCTTCTTCTCCTTCTTCTTCTTCTTCTTCTTCTTCTTCTTCTTCTTCTTCTTCTTCTTCTTCTTCTTCTTCTTCTTCTTCTTCTTCTTCCTGAACGAGCAGCATAATGTGTCAAACAATTAAATTACAAACTTCAAACTAGGAAAAAAGATGCCCTCAACTTGCCTTTGTGGTGTCTAAAAGGTGCTCCTGGATGTGTACTATGTGAGTTCCTCAAGTGCTTAAGGAATAAATGCTTTGCGGTGATGACCAGAGACCAAAGGGGGAAGGAGTTTGGGGAACTCACATTCTTAAAAGTAAGGTAAGATTTTTTTTTTTATAAAAGATTATTAAGCTGGAAGGGGTATGTGAGATATATCTGAGTGAGGGAGAACTGGAAGTGGCAAGGCCAACCAAAGCTGTGGGACTGATGCAATGGGAAGAAATAAAGGTCTGGACAAGGAAGATGACCTTCCTGGAGAGGAATGACTAACAACTGAGTGAGCCTTGTATTAGACACTTTCCCTACTTTATCTCATTTGATCCTCAGATGATCCTATGGGTGTTTATGAGCCACATTTTATGGATGAATAAGTTTTAGGGAGATTAAATAACTTGTCAAAAATTATTTAACTAATATATGCGAGTTCATTTATTTATTTTATTCGGGGGTCTCAGATAAAGCCTCCTTGTGGAGATAACACATAAGGTGACATTTAAATGGCAAGAAGGAGCCCATAACAGAAATAAAAAGCAAGGGGAGAATTTTGGCAGAAAGACCAAGTGGAAAGGCCCTACCTGGAATTAAGCAACAGGCTTGAGCTACGTGCTCCAGGGAAAGAGAAAAAACTAAAAGAGGCGAGCAGGGCACACTACGTTTTGTGGGCCAAGATAAGGACTTCAGAATTTATTCCTTGTGATGGGGATCCACTGGAGATTTTAAGTGGCAGTAATGACCTAGTATTAAAATCACTCTTTCTGCTAGTGAATATAGATTCTGGGGCACAAGATGAGAGGAGTGAAACTGATTATCAGGTTATTGCATCAAACTGGGTAAGAGATGATGGTGCTTAGACCAGGCAGTGGTGGTAGAAATGAGGAGGAAGAAAGAAAGAAAGAAAGAGAGAGAGAGAGAGAGAGAGAGAGAGAGAGAGAGAGAGAGAGAGAGAGAGAGAGAGAGAGAGAAAGGAAGGAAGGAAGGAAGGAAGGAAGGAAGGAAGGAAGGAAGGAAGGAAGGAAGGAAGGAAGGAAGGAAGGAAAAGAAAAGAAAAGAAAAGAAAAGAAAAGAAAAGAAAAGAAAAGAAAAGAAAAGAAAAGAAAAGAAAAGAAAAATAAAATTGCTCACTGCCTTTTCAGATCTTTCTCCAAGGCCTTCCTACCTAATTGGGCAATAGCTCCTTTGTGATTAGGTGCAAAGTATCAAGCATTTTCAATAGTGGTTCTTTAATTGAGCTTCTTTAATTGAGCTTTCAACAGAATCAGCTAGTTCTTTAATTGAGCTTTCAACAGAATCAGCTGGATTCAGTAGGTCTAATTCCCTAGGTCTAGTTTGTAGGTCCCAGAAATTTATATTTCTAACCAGTTCTCAGGTAATGCTGATGTTGATCTGAGTATACCCTTTAAGGACCACTATTTTAGCTGACCTACCCTTTCTTATTAAGTTGCTCCTTTCTGAACGGTCCATACAGCATCGCAGCCTGCATCAAATAAAGTTCCTGCTCCCCTGCCAGGTTCTAAATACTTCCCTATTCCTTTAAAGCACATGTGTCAAACACAAGGCCCGCGGGCCAAATCCATCCC